CCGCCCGGCCATCACGGTCCACTCTTCCGCAGCGCCGGCCCCCATCTTATCGGCCCCACGAGTAACTCTCCGCGAATCACTCGTGGCGCCCACCGATCCCACCCAGGACCGCGGGTCGGCCCGTCCGGCGACCGACGTGCCATCCCGGCTCGCGGCGGGCGCCTGGGCCTTCATCGTCGAGATCCCGTCCGTCCTCCTACGGCGTTTCCTCCTGTCAGTGAGGACGCGTCCTCCGTCCCCGCCCCGGTTCCCGGTGACGACATTTTCTGCCTGTCCTCATCGGAAGGCGACGGGCAAGCACCCTGCTCACGATCTTCTCCACCACCCTTTTCAGAATATCTGTGTCGCCCCCGTCGCCGGACATTCCGGATATCGACGGGGGGACGGTGATGTTTGCCGCGGCGGACCGGGCGTCGTTCGCGGTCCAGTCCATCACCGCGGCCATCTTTTCAACAACGCTTGGATCATCGTCCAGGCGCTTTCTTTTTCCCTGAAGGGGAGGCCTTCACTCGAGGACGCCCTCCGTCAATGCGGGTGGTGGAGTTCCCGCCCGGGACGCGTCCTCACCAGTCCTCGTACTCGCGATACGCGTTATCCGACGCGGTAGCGGAACCTCCGCGCGCGCTTCCGAACCGGGTGAGGCCGGCCGGCCCACCGCCCAGTCTGCCGAATTGCGGCGCCGGGCGAGGTGCCTCTTCACTGATTCCAGTTTTCCGCAGAGCTTATCCCGTTCCGCGGAGAGCCCCGCGACCTCTTTTTTGAGGTCGCGAAGCTCCCTGGCCATCGCGTAGCTGTCCGCGATCCCAGGGTCCCGGCTGGCACCCATCGCGTGGGTCTCCAGGACCGCGGTCACCGCAGTCAGCTCCGTCAGGCTGTGGACGATGTCCCCCTTGATGTTTTTTGAGCGCTCGAGCGACTCCAGTCCGAAGACTGCGAGGTGGTCCTCCCTTTTCCGCGCACCACGGACTGCTCGTTGAAAGGGGGGCGATCCGATGTCGGATCCTCCCCCTCTCCCTTCTTCTCGGCCCGGCCCTTCTGCCAAAACTTGGAGTTTAAAGGGCCGGCCTTCTGCCTCATCCTCATGGGTGATGGCTCCCGCGAGGCGCCGGGGGGTGGCGATCCAACCCCCCTTTCAGCCACAAGATACGCGCATAGCTAGGCGCGCCCGGCGAGGAGCTATCCCGCGAATCCTTCGGCCCGAGGGGGTCGCGAGACCGCCCCACGCAGGCCGCGCACCCACTCGGCGCACCTCTCCCCCTTCCTTATCGAATGGTGAGGGGGTAGATCACCCCACGTCCTCACCATTCTGCCACCCACCGTCGCCGGGTAAAACCCGGTGTTAGACCTCCAACTCCCATCATTTCTACCCTTAATTATTGGACCAGTCATTCTTGTTTGATCCCACTCCCCACAGCGGTTCCGCCAGCCAGGATGTACCCTTACCCGTCCGGGAATGTATCTCGAACGGGGCCCCGAGTTCCCCCGGGGGGCTGGCATATGGCTCGGGCACCCGGAATGTATCATCGGATGCACTGGCCTCCAGACCCCTTACTCACCGTGGACGGGCACAGCCCGTTACCCACGGTTTTCGGGGGTCCCACGCCTCCGACCTCATGGGCATCGCTGCGGGTG